ATTTTATTTTCCTAACACATCTTAAAGGGGACACTCCTGGCTTTCATTTAAACCAGGTTTTGAGTCTCTCTGACCAACACAGAGGTCACTGGAGCTCGTTACACCAAAAATAACACACAGTCAGGAGGAGAATCTTAGTACTGTCAATCAACCTCATGTTCGTGTTTCTAAAGCAACTGAGAAGTAACTTTATGTTCCAGGAAAACCGGGGTAGAGCAGCGCCCATATGAGAATGATTGACAGGGCTAAGTCCCTCTTAGAAATGGAGAAAAACGTGAAATTTTAGCCTCTGGCCCATGGATTAAATTATGCTTAGGCATTTTAAGCAGTTTTTAAGTATTTTTAAATCAATGAAACACATTTTGGCTATATTTAGAGCATATGTAACTTGAGTTATTTTAAAATCACTAACATGTTCGTCTGGGTTACAGAAATTTAATGTGTTTGATTATTATTCTTGATGATTGTTTTGACAAAATGTAATGTTTGTTGCTTGTTTCAACAAACATATTTTGTTGAAACAAAATGTAATGTTGCTGTGTATCGTCCTCCAGAGACATCCTGTGTTTCAGAACAAGAGCCACCTGGAGGATCTGCTGCTGAAAAATATCAAGCTGAGTCTGACTTGACGGAGCTCAAAGGTCCAGTTAAAGTCAGAGAAGATGAACATGTGTCAGATAATCTCTGGTGCTCCTGCTAGTGACACAAGGAAACAGATCTCAGGCTCACACCACATTTTATTTTATATGAATTGTCATCAGAAAAAACAGCAATTTTGTTAAAACATATTTATTTCTTAATGTGGAATTATTTTCTTAAGTGAATAAATGTTCTCAAATGAAAGTTAGGATTTTCATCAAACTTTCACATGTTACATGTTTTCAGTAAATATGATTTGGATATATTTTCATAAATGTTTAAAAAACGCGTTCAGCGAAGCCTAAAATCTGTCTGATGCTCCGTTAGGGTCTCGTAGTGGTGCAGTCGGTGGAGACGTTGGCTCTGCTTGATCGTTTCCTGTTCAGCTCTTCTTTTCCAGGTTAGGAGTACATCACAAGGTACATCCACTAGAAGAAAGACATTAAGTTCATTATTATTTACTTCATATCTGTAAGGCAGGCAGAGACCGGATATGATCCGTTTTCTGCCATGTGTTTGTAAAGATGCAGCAGTTCAGTCAGAGAGAAAAATCAGTTTAATTACCTCTGGTTCTCGAAGAGTCACGGCTGCTCCATCAGATAACTGTCTGAATATTTCTGCAGGGAAAAATATTTGAAGAAATTGAAATAATTATCAATAAACAGGAAATAATCATAAACTGAATTACTAAAATAAGCTTTCAACGACTTTCCAGTTTCATAAAATACAATGTCGTATTTAATTCCTTCAGTGTAGCCCAACACCAGAGACGGATAGTAATTAGTTACATTTAGTTGAGTAAGATTTCTGGATTTTCTACCCACTGAATGAAAATTAAACATGTTTTATCCAAAATTTCACCAGACTCAGACATACACCTTCAGTTTCTGTTAAAGTTTCAAAGATTTTTTGTTGGAAAAAAAATGGTTTGGAAATATTTCATTTTGCCTGATTTTATTTTTTGTTACTTAAATTAATTATTGTCAGTTTACATTATGGTCCGCCTGATTATGTAAATCTTAAATAGTTGATCATTTTACTCTTACTTAAGTATAATTTCTCTGCCCTCATCTGCTTAACACACAACTAGCCTGGTTTATCAGGATCTCAGCAGCAGTAAAATCCCAAACTCCAGATCTGGCTGCACACTCTACTTAGGTTTTGGTTTGGCGATCACCAACACGATGTCCTCTGATCAGATGCTTACGGGACATGCGGTCAAAGCGAAGGACCAAAGCGATGAAGTTCTCCAGCGTTATGAATCCAGAGGAGGCGCCGTAGCGCAGAGCCATGACGTTCAGCATGTCGTCACTGATCGTCTTTCCTGTGCAACAGGGTAAAGTCTGTCAGAGCTTTTATCAGACCTGCTGAGCACTGAGCTACGGCTAACAGTCAGAAACATTAAACTGATGATTTTATTAGTTTCACTTTGAATTTACACACGGTCACGGCACACTGGGTTCTGGGGGATGTGGGGCTGACTGTGGGTTGTTTGAAAACTAATGCAGGCTTGCACATTAGGCAGGGTGTGAGCAAATAACACTGCGACGTGAATCCAGGATGAATAAAACCTTGTTGACCTGAAGCCATGATGGCCTTCCTCAGCTCGCTGAGCGACAGCGTCCCCGTCCGAGAGACGTCGCAGTGAGAGAAGATGTCCTGAAGGAAGACAGAGGACAGTCAGCTGTCTGGATCTCCAGACTACAGACGGTTGAAACCATCTTTCTGTTTTCCTGCTTTTACTGTGACTGTTGCATTCTGCCAGTGTTTTTCTATTTGTATGTGAAATCTGGGCCTTAAGCCAGTCGTTCCCTGTTAGCAGGAATATTAATGTTGTTGTTCTTCCCATGTTAGATGAGAGCAGAGGCAGCAGGACGGTGATGCTGCGTCTGTTCAGGGAGGGAGAGATTATTTCATATCTTCATGATCTGCTGTCAGCGTTCCTCTCATTCACACCACACAGTATTTCACCTGTTATCACTAGCAAAGGAGAGGTCATGTATTTTATATTTAGACATTTTATTTTTAATTCTCAGGTATTACTTGACTTCTGTATGATTTGTGTTCATAAAGGCAGCAGATAAGTCGATGTTTAACATCTGTGCTGTCACATTTGTCTAAAGTGTCCATGTGTTTGGTGTTGTGTCCCGTTGATGATGATCTGAATGTTTCATGATCTGATTATGACTCGGTAAATTTCAGTCTGCAACCAGAGTTTGGCAGCTCAGTCTTTAGGTTCTGTTATTTTGCAGCATAAAGCAGTCGGTCCACTGGCCTGTGGCTGTTAGTGATTATGATCCATGAAGCTCTAGTTTGTCTCTGTAACCTCATAATAAATAATCAGAAACGTCCTTCTTCAGCCATTAAACTTAACTGGATGTTCTTTAGTGAGCATCGGCTGAAAAGCAGCAGTGTGTTGTGTGGTAAAAACTCAACGACCTTCACTGCTCTCACCTTGTACGTAACAATCTTCCTCCACAAACTGACAAATTCCTCACTGTTCAGCTTCCCAGTGATGGATGTCTGATCAGTTCGTTAAGGTACGTTCATTCAGAGGCAGGGGTTAAAGGTCAGACTTTACCCCCTTTGTTGTGGGGAGTTTGGGTGGAGGATACGTCCATGAGGGCAACCATGCTGCGGCAGGCGTCGGTGCTGAAGCCGCCAGACTTCAGGTCACCTGGATGAAAACAGAGCAAGGAGTGAGAGTGATGCAGGTGACCCTGTGACCCTGCGATGGAGGCTCAGTCCAAACCTCTCAGGATTTTGCCGTTGAGGAGGCTCTGCAGCTGCTCAGCGTCCACTTCCTCGTACTGTAGGAACAGAAATGTAGGAGGGTCTGGCGGTGGCTGCAGAGTGATGCTGTTCTAGTGAAAAGTGCCTCACCTTGTCAGAGAACTGCCTGAACAGAGTTCTGTTATTGTCTTCATCCGCTGTGCTGTCCTGAGCAGAGGGCTGCAGGGAAGTCACAAAGCGTCACTTGGTATCGGTTCCATTCAAACCGAAATGTGAGGCGTGAGATGGCAGAACACGCTGACCCTCAGAGAGCCTGGCAGTCTGGCCTACCTTCTCTGTCTCCGTCTGCTCCGGGTTGTTTCCACCAGAGCTCTCACTGCAAGGAGAAACCACAAGCATTCACCTTCACAAAACCACAATTTTCACTCATTCTCTGCATATTCAATAGCATTTTAATCTGAGCAATGGATGTAAAATATTTCATAATCATTATTGGTCATCATTAGCAACGCTGCTTGACGGATTCTGGTTCTTTGGATGAACAAAGATAAACGCCAGCGATGCGAAACGTTTTAACACTGAAGCAATAAGCTGCTCCAAATGACCAATAATTCACCTGAACATAGACCTGCACAATGTAGACATCACTGGTAGCGAAAAATAAACTACAGTCCAAATCCAGCTGCATTGGGCCAAACCCAAATGATGCTCTGCTGCCAGACACGCAGGAGTCTGGCTGACTGCGCTGTCTGCGGTGCGTTCAGGAACCGCCGGCCACCAGAACTATAATAGTTTTTTTAAGTTTGCTTATTCACTAATAAAAACTAAGTTTATTTCTGAGGTCACTGAAGATGTTCCACACAGTGAGCTTACTGGGCCCTCAGAGCGTACCGGGCCCTCAGAGCTTACTGGGCCCTCAGAGCGTACCGGGCCCTCAGAGCGTACTGGGCCCTCAGAGCGTACTGGGCCCTCAGAGCGTACTGGGCCCTCAGAGCTTACTGGGCCCTCAGAGCGTACCGGGCCCTCAGAGCTTACTGGGCCCTGAGACTGTACTGGGCCCTCAGAGCGTACCGGGGCCCTCAGAGCGTACCGGGGCCCTCAGAGCGTACTGGGCCCAGTCCCAGCTGGGACCTACTGGACGTGTGTCTCGGCCTTGGACAGCACGGTGAGGATGAAGGACGCCGTCTCGTTGGGGTTGAAGGTGGATGGGACGATCAGGAACTCTCCGGGCTTCAGGCTCAGCAGCTGCATCACCTCCCGTGCGTCGGTGTATCTGTCCATCTGAGCCACCGGCTTGTTTCTGCCGAAGAAAACGGCTGGGAATTTCCCCCTCACGGCCCTGTACTGGAGCGCCACAACTTATAACTTTAACTCATTTTTTACAGCGTCGCCTGCTCAACACTGGCAGATGAAACAATAACACTTACTTCTTTAGGCACCTTGAAGAAAAGGAGAAGGTGAAACGTGTTAGAAAGTGTGAGATGAATCAAAGATGGCGGCAGGAAGACGACGCTCACCTCAAACACAGAGAAGCCGATGTGGAGGTTCTGGACCAGCCGCCTGTTCCTCTTGTCAGGCTTCTGCATGAGAGACACCAGCATGTTGTTCTCACCCTGACTGTCTGCACAGCCGCCCTGCAAGCCTCCAACCTCCACCCGGTACTGCGGATTGGTCCAGAAGGTCCCTGGGAGGAAAAGAGGAAGACCTCCATGAACGTAGGATGAAGAAGCCCCTGATTCATCCCTGGGAAGCTGATGCAATCATCAGTTTAATTCACCTTATAGGTTCAACAAAACTTCTCCTCTTTCTGAATTATTTAATGCCATTTTCCTTCATTTTATCTTTTGTCTATTTTTTCCCACGTTTTTCCTCATGTCCTTTTTTCTTTACATTGATTTTTCTGTTTTGTTCTCTTTTCTCTTTTTATCATTTTCCCCTCTTTTTCAGTCTTTTTCCTGTATTTTCCTTATTTTTTCCTGTATTTTCCTTTACCCAAAGCTTACAGTAACCTGACCGTCTGACAGCAGGTTGAACCGATCCAGAGTCTGACCGGCCGTTTTCTTTTTAATTTATATTTTTTCTTCGTACCGGGGTGATTCATGCAGCCTCCAGCTGAGATCCCTGCGACCCAACGGCCTTCGTGGAACGAGGATTTCCAGTGACAGGACGAGCTCCCATCAAGGAAGTCCACACACGAGCAGCAGATGTCCAGGTCAGAGTAAAACTTGCAGAAATCCTGCAGAGTCATCCTGGACAGTATTTGACAGCAGGAGTGAGGTGATGGGAAACAATAAGAGCAGAGTTTATTCTCAGCAGTCCGCTCGGAGAAAGCGGGTCCAGCTCACCAGAACTCGCCGTCTTCACACACTGAAAGGCAGGTTTCACGATCCTGAGGACTCACCGTCTGCCACAGAGACGACCTTCAGGAAAAAAGCAGGAACAGGACAGGTGAACAGAACTCTGTAGGATTAACTCAACAGCCAGAAACATCCTCAACTCCGGATCATCTTGGTCAACTTCAGTCACTTCAGAGCCTGAGCCTTTGGGCCTGGTACCACAGCCCAGAACTTTGGTCAGTGTGGTTCTGATGGAGCCACTGAGGGAGGGCGGCCATGTTGTAATGGCTGCTGCTTGGATAATAATGACACTGATGCATCAGCACCATCAAACCTGTTTCAAATGGGAACCAATGAGAAGGAAACCAGTGCTACGCTGGTTTTCTGATGGGTCAGAAACCCAACACCGCTCTGTTGGCTCCAAACTGAGTGTGTTTCTGCTGCGAGCCTCTGGGGAACGGTAGATATTTGCACAGATCAAACCGAGTTTGATGACGTAAAGTGGCTGTTAAAGGACGCCTCCTGCTGGCGGTCCTGGGAAGCTTTCAGAACAGGAAGAATCCATCTTTAATCCCTTCGTCGTCCCATTCAGCCGTCTGCTAGTTCATCCTTAGATCGCTTACTGCCTGAGATCCGGCTCCTTCACCCAGAAAGGCCAGACGGTGTCGGCATGAAGGATGGAGGAAAGAGGCGTTTGTTCTCACCGGTCGCTCCAGTCTCCGCTCCACTCTCCTTGGCCCCAGGGGTTCCACAGACGCACCAGACGCTCAGCCTTCGCTCTGCTCAGCACCTGGCCGACAGGTAGCAGACGCAGCACTCACCAGATGATCAGTCTGACTGCAGCACTTACATGTTGAACTAGGCTGACTCTCTCCATGTTGGAGTTCCTGTTGAAATCCATGTTTTACCTCCCTGACTCCAGTGACGGCGTAGGCGTGGCCTTGAACTAGGCCATTTGGTAAGACGGTGTTGGCAGAAGTCTCCTAAGAAAGGAGAAATTCAGGATTAAAGTCAGTAAATGTACCTATTATGTTATAGAAAGCCTGAGCTGGGCGTCAGCTGCTTCCATCAGTCAGTGAAGACTTAGGAAGGTTTCAGCTACAGACGCCTTCTCTGACCTACAACAACAAAACCTGAAGAGCTTTAGTGGCTGTTAATCTGCAGATTGACAGATTGTTCTTCCAGATTAATCCACCGGATCTAGAGCCGAGGTCTAACCTTCACACGACTTCTAAACAAGCTGATCAAAATGTTAGCAGACATGAGAGTTTATTAAGAAGCTCAACATTTCTGCTTTGAATTTTCTGATTCTGCTTTTTCAGTTGTTTCATCATATTTCCTAATAACTGAAGTGACAAACTGCCCAGGGAATTTGATGAAAAGGTTTAAGTTCTGAATCTGGTGCTGGAGCGACCCAGCGGGAGGAGAACCCACTTCTGATTGGTCAGAGCGGTTTGGACGGGTTTAATGTTATTACTTGACCCAGTTGTTTAACTCTATTCCTAAAAAGGTAGATAAATTGTTTATGTCTTCTCGTCATCTTTCCCTCCTTGGGGTGAAAAGATGAAACCTGAGTCCTGGCATGTCTGAACTTAGAGCTTCCCAGATCCTGGGAGTTTCATGAAACCTTCACCTGTCCTTTCTGTCATGTTTCAGCAGATTAATCCTGTATCAACAGTCAGTTGGTGGCAACCCCAGGTTTTTCTCTAACTGGTTGACATCCAGAACAAGTTTCTCTGTGTTATTATGGTGTATTATAGCAGGTCCAGATCTGCTCAGACTCGCAGGGATTTCTCAGTTTGGAGCTGGCTGAGGTGTGATCGTCTCTTACGCCCTGTGGAGTCCCGCAGCCCATCAGCGACTTGGCCTGGCCGGCTCTGCACATCAGCTCCCACAGGTCTGCAGGTGGCTCAGACAGCTGCACACACATGTGGACGCCGCCGGTGAAGTCCACCATGGCCTCCACTGGAGTTCCTGCATTCATGTCTGAATAGGAGCCACAGACCCTGACACAGCAGGGCCAGGTTAGACACAAACACGTCAGCAGCAACGTTTTATCAGCAGCTCACGTACTTGGCGTAGGCCTTCTCCAACAGAGCGGGCCAGAACTCAGTTGGGTTCTTAGAATGGACAAAAATTAACTGGCCGTTGATTGTTGGCAGCTTATCGTCAATGACGACATCGACCCATTTTCCAAACCTCCAGAACTGAAGTGTAAAGAAAACAGAGTTATTTTTAACTAAATAATAACAGCAAGATTTTCCAGAGAAGATGGATGTTTGTCTGACAGAAGGAACCTTGAGGGACTGAAGTCCTCCACCTGCAGCTAACAAGCTAATTTCAGTTAGCATTAGCTGGGTGTTGGAGCTCCTGAGGGTTCTCAGCTTGGTCTGGTAACTTCTTACCAGCTTGTTAGATTGTTAGATTCACTGGACCAACGTCATGCAGCTGAGTTTGGGTTCACCTAAATGTTGTGGCAGTTCAAGAGTCTGGAGAGCTGCTAGAGGCTAGCTGACCAACAAAACGGATAGCTGCTAGAGGCTAGCTGACCAACAAAACGGATAGCTGCTAGAGGCTAGCTGACCAACAAAACGGATAGCTGCTAGAGGCTAGCTGACCAACAAAACGGAT